AACATACAGTATGGAATAGCATACGTAAGGAAATATAATAATGGATAATAACTGAAATACAGTTCTTTTATGCTGAGGTCTAAGGGAATCTGTGTGTATACTGTTATCATTTTTTTCACTTGCAAAGGAAATAATTTTGTAGTGCAGTCTAGCATTTAAAGACAAGGCATGGTCATTGTAATACAAGTACTTTCATCTGATATTTGATATGGCAGTAAAGAAACACATAAATTTATCCTACTTTCTCCTTTTCTTATTTATTCATCCAGACAGCAAAACATGTAATAACAACTCCAATCAAATGCATTTGTACTCACTTCGTTCCGTCCCGCACACGTATACAATAGCCTTATTTACAAGCACATATACATCATATATTTTACGGAATGACATAAACCGAAATTTATATTTGCTTTTGATATGTTACAAGAAACTATATATGAAGCCACATACCATATCATTAAGACTTTATTATGAATAAATACAGGTATAATAAACGCGGCACTAGAAAGTTTTTACCTGTTACAGAAGCATTGTACAAGCACTAGACATAACAAATCACGCACCTATATAGACTCTTATCAATGAAAAATATTTCAGCACTTCATTGTCCAAACACGAAATCTGACAAAGCGCCCGATCACAGTACTTAATTAACAAGCTCAACACTAGTTTTGTTCGGAATTGAGAGGATCAAATTTCGTCAAAAAGTTCAGGATGTTGATACGTATTTAGAAGCCAACCTTTATTTGGATAGTTAAACTGGCGATGAATCGCCAATGACTACGTCTTGTGTGTACGATGGACCGATATGTTGCGCACTAGTGACTTTCTATTCTTTGTGTGTATTGACCGATTTCGCCAGTAACGTGCCGATGTTTTGACAAAAATAAATTTCGAGACAGTGAATGACTTTTCCCTTGATTTACAATTGAAGAGACTGAAAAATCGCTTCGACTCAACCGAAATTTCGACTCAATAAAACTCGGATCATCTGAGCTGAAAAGACAAAGATATAGAAGGGAAAAAATCGGGACTGGAAAATTATTTCGACTCAAACGGAATTTCAACTCAGGCGATTTCGAGACAACGAGATTTTACAATTACGACTTATAGTGCCATTTTCCTTAAATCTATAATGATTTTTATATATTGATTTTAACATGTTTATTGCATCTAACTAAAAGATGTTTGCCAGAACATTTTTTCATTAATTTGATAAATGTTTGATATAGGAAAACTCGACAATTCATCTACGACTGTGCTATGTTATGTAAATATTGCTGAGGTGATATATCAATACTGCAATATGCACTGCTGTTAACATCCCTTTGTGTACGTCAAAATATTATATTGGAAGCAATTTTACCTTAGTTATAACTGAGTAGAATTTCAAATCAAGCAGTTGAATAAGCTACTGCCTAGCTATATGTTCATAATATAAAACAGGACCACGGTGTACTTAATTTTGGTCTTGCTGTTAGAAAACCTCCTATGAGCAGATATCTATGAGAAAATCATCTCCGTGTTACCTCGAAGTTTAGACTATCATTGATGGAGAAATATCGGGAATATTGACGAACAGTCAAAGTACTCTTTCTTTTGAATGAATATCGAAATTTAATTAGTGTTAGAGGTTTAATCTATCGCCAGCTTCAACAATGAAATAAAATGTTATTACTTACCCGGTTGAAATCCAACTAGACAAAACACTTGTAATAGTACTTATATTATACTGTATGCGTAATTGTCCTAGTGTACCAGCACGAGGCATATAGCTACTCTGTTTACCGTCAACCAAACTATTACTGATTTTTTCTAACCTGATATTGTCCCTTGAACCTGATTATCAATTGTTATCGAATAAATCTCTTATTTCAGATGTATTCTGAAATATTTTATGTTTTCCGACATACGTTGACCTTCACCCCGATGCTTTTCGAGTAGAAAATTCCTTCTATGTCAGCGGTATCTTTCTGCATAATATTTGTCCACGAGTCGCTCTCCGCCTATTCGACCATTCCTAACTCCGAAGTTTTTGGTTGTCCATTTTGACTTTGACAAGTTTGCCTTTAAAGCAGTTTTTATATAAGGTTTAGTTGATTGGGACGTCAAAACAAGGTATACTGTTTTAGTTTCGCTTAACTAAATTTTTGCAGTTTATTTAAATATGAAGGTTTTAATTTAATTGATGAATAATTTCGTGGTTATTTTCAATGGATTTATACCTTACGGTTAAAATGAAAGACCGAAAAATAATAAAAGAACAGGTTCGCATTTCTGTGGGAAATTTCTCAAAACAACCTCCTGTACCATATCCATGTGCGCACACAACATGTTTAAACGTTTTATTGAATTGCGTTCGTGTCTTAATAGCTTGCGACTACAACCCTTTCTCATTTCTCCAAGTGACTCCAGTAGAGTAATCTTACTATCATCACAAGCTAACTGTTAATATGTGTTTATCAGTGCATTTAAATTGCAGCTGTTTCTCAGAAATATTTTCTTCTTCAAATTTTATTCATGTTACAGTGGTAGTGGTCAAACAAAACAACATCTACGTGATGGGAAACGTTTCTTGTAAGTGATTTTGTATTCACCAGCTTCATGATTTTAAAAACAAAGTATATTCGAGAAAAAGATAAGTAAGTAAAAATGAAAAAAACATTAATTGCGTAAGAGTGTTACAGTGATGCGGCTACTTTGAAGGGGAAGATCACGATTACCAATATATTTACCTGCGCTAATACTAAAAAAGAACAAAAAAAACTTGTAAGTAATTCTTTCATTTTGTATAATGTATTTTCATACACATAAGAAGTTGTCTGTAGGTTATCATTTTCATTCACAGCCGTCCGGTGTTTATTGGCATCACGCCAAGTGTGTTTGCTGTCAAGTTACTGAAGGCCAATGTATTCATACGCGTAAGGTTTACCGAAGTGTAAACGTCAATTTCGTTGGTAGGTCTATATAGAGGATACGCACACGAAAATGTAAATATATAAATACTTATTTAATTATTTTACCTGTTCATCTTTACACTACAATGTCATCGTTTGATAGTCTACAGATTTACACGAAATTTCCCATATTGTATTGTTTTGTGATTAGACGCATTGTTTACGTTTTTTAAACAGTTCAATCTGCATGCATATCACTCGTGACATCCTATGTTATTCAGTTTCGCATACAAAATTGAGTGGATAATGACAAGGAATGTCCACAAACCCATAGTCATATAGCGCTACACAGTTCTCGTCGCCATGAAAATTGTTAGGTTCATTTCCAAACCAATTAGTTACATAAGATCCACTACTCCATATGTATATTCCTTCAGTTTGCTCCTCAGTCGCACCGACTGAAAACAAGTTGTCAGCTGAAAAGAAAATCGAATCGAAATAGAATCCTCGCCGTCATGTTGATACTCTAAATAACACCTTGTATTAGAACGGTGGAGTACCAAACAGTCAGTTGTAATCTAAATAACACATTGTACTAGAACGGTGGAGTACCAAACAGTCAGTTGTAATCTAAATAACACATTGTACTAGAACGGTGGAGTACCAAACAGTCAGTTGTAATCTAAATAACACATTGTATTAGAACGGTGGAGTACCAAACAGTCAGTTGTAATCTAAATAACACATTGTACTAGAACGGTGGAGTACCAAACAGTCAGTTGTAATCTAAATAACACATTGTACTAGAACGGTGGAGTACCAAACAGTCAGTTGTAATCTAAATAACACATTGTATTAGAACGGTGGAGTACCAAACAGTCAGTTGTAATCTAAATAACACATTGTATTAGAACGATGGAGTACCAAACAGTCAGTTGTAATCTAAATAACACATTGTACTAGAACGGTGGAGTACCAAATAGTCAGTTGTAATCTAAATAACACATTGTACTAGAACGGTGGAGTACCAAACAGTCAGTTGTACATATTTAAAGTGTATTGTAAAACATCACAACAGGAAAATACCAACGTTTCAATATCATCATAATCCAAATTCAAATTCAATAAACTTAGGGCAAATTATTAATAAAAAAACGGAGACTCCTGAAAATCAATAGTACGATAAGACCAGTGGTTTTTTTGAGTAAGCGTTTTCTACTTCATCGACGTCACCAGCCATGTAAACCTTGGTCAATTCAAGTAGGTAGTAGTTTCCCGTTCTCAAATACAAGGTATACAACAACGGAACAAACAAAGTATAGAGCATCAAACAGCTTCATATCGCACAAGGATAGGGAATATTTCTCAATGAGATCACTATGACGACCATAACACCTGCATCTTTCAAACTTTCTGTTTCGAGTTTGTCCGTCAGTTGACGAATTCTTGTACTATTCGAAATCCGTGATAAAAATATCAGGTCCTTGAATATCTCATTAACTATAAAACACTCAATCCTCAAAAATGTGGATTCTAAAGTACAAGAAAACTGCATGATACTGTTGAACATAGCATTTGGATCTACTGGATCTAAAGATCAATTTGCATTGTAAGGTGCTATTCTCTTGTATATTTCGTTCAATATTTCCACGACTGACAAGGTCATTCTGGCCATAATGCTCGCAATGACAGTGCCATCGTAAAATTCATAATGATGTTGCAATTTAATCATATCATGTATATCTAATATTGGTGGGCATGTGCATTGCCAAGCTGGACGAAAGGATAGCATTGAACCAATTCTATTCGTATCAGTGGGAAAATCTTTCATACTGAAGTTTATATAGAACCAAACCTACATTAACACCTTAGTCAACAGCGTTGTTTCTCATAAACTATATAATCCATATGTAGTGTTAACAGAAGAAGGAAGAAGAGTAGCTTACACGTGAAGTCCGACATATTTCTGACGTAGTTTAGCTTATCATCTGTATCAAGAACGGCCAGTCGTCCGCCCAGAGTACCACAAAATAACTCCGCTTCAGCATGTGTTTTTGATATGTTTGTAAACATCCTGACATACCAATCCAGTTGTTCAATATGGATGAAACCATCAAACCAACCTGTAAAACCATAAATAATCTATAACGCGAAAACATCAATCATTTCTTACTTAGAAAAAACACCTGATACAGGTACACCTAAAACAGGTACACCTAACACAAATACACCTGATACAGGTACACCAGACATTGGTACACCTAAAACAGGTACACCTAACACAAATACACCTGATACAGGTACACCAGACATTGGTACACCTAAAACAGGTACACCTAACACAAATACACCTGATACAGGTACACCAGACATTGGTACACCTAAAACAGGTACACCTAACACAAATACACCTGATACAGGTACACCAGACATTGGTACACCTAAAACAGGTACACCTAACACAAATACACCTGATACAGGTACACCAGACATTGGTACACCTAAAACAGGTACACCTAACACAAATACACCTGATACAGGTACACCAGACATTGGTACACCTAAAACAGGTACACCTAACACAAATACACCTGATACAGGTACACCAGACATTGGTACACCTAAAACAGGTACACCTAACACAAATACACCTGATACAGGTACACCAGACATTGGTACACCTAAAACAGGTACACCTAACACAAATACACCTGATACAGGTACACCAGACATTGGTACACCTAAAACAGGTACACCTAACACAAATACACCTGATACAGGTACACCTGATACAAATACACCAGACATTGGTACACCTAAAACAGGTACACCTAACACAAATACACCTGATACAGATACACCAGACATTGGTACACCTAAAACAGGTACACCTAACACAAATACACCTGATACAGGTACACCAGACATTGGTACACCTAAAACAGGTACACCTAACACAAATACACCTGATACAGATACACCAGACATTGATACACCTAAAACAGGTACACCTAACACAAATACACCTGATACAGGTACACCTGATACAGATACACCAGACATTGATACACCTAAAACAGGTACACCTAACACAAATACACCTGATACAGGTACACCAGACATTGGTACACCTAAAACAGGTACACCTAACACAAATACACCTGATACAGGTACACCAGACATTGGTACACCTAAAACAGGTACACCTAACACAAATACACCTGATACAGGTACACCAGACATTGGTACACCTAAAACAGGTACACCTAACACAAATACACCTGATACAGGTACACCTGATACAGATACACCAGACATTGGTACACCTAAAACAGGTACACCTAACACAAATACACCTGATACAGGTACACCAGACATTGGTACACCTAAAACAGGTACACCTAACACAAATACACCTGATACAGGTACACCAGACAAAGGTACAACTGAAAAAGGTACACAGACAGTGTTACACCTAAAACAGGTACACCTAACACAAATACACCTGATACAGGTACACCTGACATAGGTACACCAGACATTGGCACATCTAAAACAGGTACACCTGATACAGGTACACCAGACATTGGTACACCTAAAACAGGTACACCTAACACAAATACACCTGATACAGGTACACCAGACATTGGTACACCTAAAACAGGTACACCTAACACAAATACACCTGATACAGGTACACCAGACATTGGTACACCTAAAACAGGTACACCTAACACAAATACACCTGATACAGGTACACCAGACATTGGTACACCTAAAACAGGTACACCTAACACAAATACACCTGATACAGGTACACCCTAACACAAATACACCTGATACATTGGTACACCAGACATTGGTAAAACAGGTACACCTAACACAAATACACCTGATACAGGTACACCAGACATTGGTACACCTAAAACAGGTACACCTAACACAAATACACCTGATACAGGTACACCAGACATTGGTACACCTAAAACAGGTACACCTAACACAAATACACATACAGGTACACCAGACATTGGTACACCTAAAACAGGTACACCTAACACAAATACACCTGATACAGGTACACCAGACATTGGTACACCTAAAACAGGTACACCTAACACAAATACACCTGATACAGGTACACCAGACATTGATACACCTAAAACAGGTACACCTAACACAAATACACCTGATACAGGTACACCAGACATTGGTACACCTAAAACAGGTACACCTAACACAAATACACCTGATACAGGTACACCAGACATTGGTACACCTAAAACAGGTACACCTAACACAAATACACCTGATACAGGTACACCAGACATTGGTACACCTAAAACAGGTACACCTAACACAAATACACCTGATACAGGTACACCAGACATTGGTACACCTAAAACAGGTACACCTAACACAAATACACCTGATACAGGTACACCAGACATTGGTACACCTAAAACAGGTACACCTAACACAAATACACCTGATACAGGTACACCAGACATTGGTACACCTAAAACAGGTACACCTAACACAAATACACCTGATACAGGTACACCTGATACAGATACACCAGACATTGGGTACACCTAACACAAATACAGGACATTGGTACACCTAAAACAGGTACACCTAACACAAATACACCTGATACAGGTACACCAGACATTGATACACCTAAAACAGGTACACCTAACACAAATACACCTGATACAGGTACACCAGACATTGGTACACTTAAAACAAATACACCTGATACAGGTACACCTGACATAGGTACACCAGACATTGGTACACCTAAAACAGGTACACCTAACACAAATACACCTGATACAGGTACACCAGACATTGGTACACCTAAAACAGGTACACCTAACACAAATACACCTGATACAGGTACACCAGACACAGGTACATCTGACATAGGTACTACAGCCATTGGTACACCTAAAACAGGTACACCTAACACAAATACACCTGATACAGGTACACCTGACATAGGTACACCAGACATTGGCACATCTAAAACAGGTACACCTGATACAGGTACAGCACACATCATAAAAAATACCTCCGTTACACACTAATTTATACCTCCGAAATCATCAAATAGTTTTTTCTTACATTCCATAAAAATCACAAAGACTGAAGTCTGTGCAGTAACTGCTGTTCTAACTCCGAACACGTTCGCCAACTAAATAGTATTCAATGTGGATTTTTAGCTAATTTCGTTTTTATTCCAGTAATTCTATTTCTCGGGATCGTATAAAATTATATAAAGTGTTTAGTTAAAACAGATTATTTCACTTTCAAACTTGCGAAATAGATTATACATGGACAGTAAAACTTACATGTATCACGTGACCGGACATATTGTAGCAGTGCCACATCATCGATAGTACTATTTGGATCATAATGTAACAGGATTAAACAAAGCCAAAATTGTGGCCAAATCTTTCAAGAGGCGTTTATAAACGCAAAATGAAATATACACGTATAAAATTATTTACAAACGTACGGTTCCAAAGTCGATTTCCCGTTTCCGACTTAGCAATTTGCATACTTTCCAGACAGGAGCAGGTTCGAGTCTCAGTATTGTAGGTAGCTGCCTTACATTTCACCGTGGCCGAACAAAGTAGGATACAAGCGATGATGGTGGTTTCGTTAGTCGTCAGTAAAGACGGGCTGTACAACAGGTCAATACCAGTCACATTCTGTACCCAGGATTGTCTGGTGGGCGTCGTTTCTGCTAAAATTTGAGACGGCTTGTTTTCGAGGAAAGAGACCTCACTACCTCGTTAATATCATATACATAATATACCGCGTTTGAGTTGTACATACTGGATTCTCATATAACCAAAATATAAGAACTACAAGATTTTTTTTCTTTTTTTTTTTTTTTTTTTTTGATTTGTTTTTTACAATTTATCTCAAAAACAGAAAAATAATTAAAATTGAAACTGTTAATTGATGACCAGCACCTATCTGTATGTAAACTTTTTAACGTTTTTCTTCAAATTAAAAAACTAAACATCTACAAAATTGTGAAAACATTGACTTAATCTTTCAAGTTCTTGGACCTCAACTGCAATTAGTTGTTTGTAACGTCCACAGACAGACAGTGTATATGTGATGTTAAACTTGACAGGTAGACAGACAAAGAAATGGATATTGTAAAGTCAGTCTGTTAACTCTGCCGATTGCAATCTGTATTTTGTATTTGTGATCAGCTCTAATAATCAATTTAATGTTATTATCAACTTTTCTTATCAATTTTCAATATCAATATAATGAACTGGTCGACAAGACAACATCGTAGGTACAAAAGTGTTGCAAATTTCCGGATTTTTTTTTTTTTTTTCATTTTGTTCATTAGATTTACATATGTATTTCAAACTGGACAAATTGATATATATACTTAACAACGATTTTCAGTACAGAAATGCTTTCAGCTGTTACCATTATATACTAATATATAAATCATAGGATTAATCTTCTATGTTTTGATAAAAAACAAAGTTAATGAATGAAATGATTTTACTTACCCAGTTGATACCTGATATATACTAGATATATCAAAGGTAGAATATACCTTGAAGTATTCATAGTTGTTTAAAGCTGCTGTAGACCGTGGATGCACAATACAGAATGGCGTCGAATAACAATAATAATTACAAATAAGTTTAATCTATTGCACGGCGCGCTACACCACTGAGCTTTATCATTGTCCCTGGGGTCCGTTTACTTTTCGTTTTTTTTTTTTTTTTTACTTGCTATAATAAGCACATTGATTACAGTGTACATGTACTCAAGATGTTTCTTTCGTGTACAAATCGCAGGTGCGTTGCTTTGAATATGTGTTTTTCAGCTTCAATAACAATTTGGAGAAAGAACTAGAAGAATGAGTCGCATCAATCTTACTCAATAGTTATGTACCGATAGCAGAATGTAATTAGATATTGAGGTGTGCAAGTGTCGGGAGGGGGGCAACTTAGATAGAAACAATGTTATTGAATTCCACTTATGAAACAGTATGGAGGGGAATGGAAGATTGAACAATCAATGAAGTACATTATATAATGCAGCACAATGTCCACAACTTGGATCTACTCAGTTGTTTATGAAGCACCGTCACTTTGTAGGAAATAGCCTTTCTGCTTGAAGATAAATTGAGCATGCGAAACTAATATGTCGTCTGACAAAAAAAATGTTATTTCTAGTATTGAATATTTAATGTTTTGTGATAAAATATCCATTTTCAATCTTTGGAAATAGAATTTGAAGGTTAAAAGACAATATATTAATATACAAATCAATATATAGATATATTAATTATGTCAGTCGTCTTCTGGTGGATTGGTAATACACAAATGTGCTGTGTCACCAGTGGAAATGTGTTTTATGTTTTGTTTGTATGAGTATCACGTATGTTTTCACATCCACAAAAATCAAAAACGTGATACTGAAGTGAAGCTTTATTATAGACGTATATACAAAGTAGGCGTCTTTTGCGCGTTACGGATTCGTTAATGCTAAACGTATACTTAGGGAATTAGTTTGCGTCTACTGGATATCAGACCGTGATTTTGGGTTTAACACAAATGAAGTCGAGTGTCGAAACGATAAAATTGATAATGTTATCCCCAAAAGATGTATAAAACAAAACATCTAATTCTCATTCCGAAACTATTTGAGAATCCTATTTATGAAAAAAATCGGAATTGAAGTAGTAATTCCACAAAACCTGACATCTAAACTTTGTTTTATTCGAAATTGACCCTTAATTAGTTTTTTTTAACCCTTGATGACGTAGAGACGCTCCATTCTAGGGTCAGGATAAAGGTTAAGGTGTGTAAAAAGACTCCGAATGTTTAAATGAATTATCAAAATAATTTTTATAAGGGTTCCTGGTGTACATACCGTCTTTCTTTGAATATATAGTGTAAATATTTTCTATAAAAATTCGATAATAAATCCGTGGACATCGCCCAGAGGTTCAGGAGACTGAAACTGACGGGAGGACACGTTGAATCCTTATCATATTCTTCACAGAATTTTCTAGTAAATGAGAAAATACCATGTGACTATTTTGTTTGAACATTACAGAATCGGTAATTCATCCAGAGAACTGGAAGTTTAACATGTCATATTTCTCTCAGTGCTATCATCAAACTGATAAGCCGAAACTTTAAAACATCCTCTGCCTTTACGTAAAAAATGGCCGCTATGTTCCGACAGCGTCAGAGTGAATGCTGCATGTACGGTTATGTATTTACAATTCAAGAGTAGGTCTTTATTGGTTTTAAGATAACATACACCAAAATCGGGTGAATGAAATGCGACAATATGTGTACTCAAAGGAACAAGAAAATAGCGACAAATTAATTCAAAATCCAAATCGATGAAATGAGGGCCGAAGAATAAGCTATAAATTCTGGATTGACAAGCGTCTTCTGCTTCTCCCACGAAAGTAAGCCTATAACAGCGAAACCACCGCCAAGTTGTAGCTCATCGAGTCTGTTTTACTTTACATTATACTGTAAAACAGAATTCCAATGAGACATGATGTGGAATCTCTGTATACCGGAAAATCGGTACTCCCACTTTACTTTCGTCCCTTTCGTCCTGAACAGGGAGGCCGAATTTAAGATGAAGGTGAAAATTTGCCACATGTATTTTACGTATGGACATATTTCACAGAAATCAAGATATTAAGAACAAGTCCTTTTAAATCGAATCAACTGCAGCATTAAACATGATATTTTGCAGAAGCTGATTTTTACCGTGCATCTACCTTCGTCATGTAAAAGAACACACTTTCAATCAAATATCAATTATATTTGATAATTAATTGATAATTCGTAGTTAATGTACCAGCACTACATTATTGGTAGTAGTTGTTTTCGACCCAATCTCCAAATGCATTTTAAGAGCTATATAAATTATAGGAATATTCCGCCAAAGTTGCCAAATGTCTGGCTGTTTTGTACCGTTATAAACAATTCTAATGACTTTTAAAACTAGTGATAGCAGTTTGAGCAGGCGTAATTGGTGGGAATATTCCAAGTCAAACCGTCTAAATATAGCTCATCGGGAAATCCGGAACTGAAAGGTCAGTGGATCCTAGAATGTTTTCAGAGTATTGAGTATACTAGTGTGTATGCTTTTCACTAAAAATTCTGTTGGGGTTACAATTTCATAACGCATTTAGGCTTCTTTTCTGTTGATTTCATAATTTACATAAATGTTTCTTTCTGTTCAGCTTATAAGAACACAAACCTACTATTGACGCAATCAAGTATGCGCGAACGTTTTTAAGTCGATCTAGCTAGATTTGTAGATAACTTCCTTCCACAAATCAAAAGTCATATGTTTGTTTAAATGGTAATTCGAGGAGTACAATTCCCAAAAGAACAAAAGTACATAATCTTGTACAGTTTTCTTCAAAAGCATCCCATGGAATCCGAACTTGTGTTGAACATCCCTTTAACCAATATAAGTTTATTAATCGATCCTTTGGTACTCCTATCCTTGCATTTGCATTCATATATATATATATATATATATACATACATCTAGATGACATGATATGC